GTCAAGTTCGAGAATTAGTAAGATGAGTAGTCTTGAGAAAGCATGAGAAAAAACTGTGGGACTGAAGCTAACACAGGGACTGTCCATCAGGCCATTTTAAGGATTTACAGCTTCCTGTAGATAAAGGGTGAACAACTGCTCACAGCAAAGATCCCAAAATGGGACGTGTGTGTGCTTTGTGAAAACAAACACTCACTATGTAATTATACCTTACAGCTTATGTGAACCAGTGCAAATGGAAGAATACACAAGGACTCACTGATAGTCGGCAGCTCTATCTATACACAAACCACTGGACCAACATTCTTAGAAAATAACTCATTCCTAAGTAGGCTAAACACATCCTTTCCCCATGTATACACAGATTTTGTTGTATATATTACCTAATTAGCTTAACAAGTCCTTTCCGCTTAGAAAGTTTAAGCCATGCAACTCAGCTGAACTTCTCATCAGGATGGACTGAAACCCCAACCTATGTTCAGAGGCAACCGGTGACTCTGTTCCCCAAGTACTGCCCAGCTCTGAGCAGCTACAGGGGGTCCCCAGCACGTGACAAGGGACTCCCACGGGCCTCAGGCTGTCCGACTGCCACAAATACTAAAATCCTGTGTGCAATGGCCATTTGGTCTAGTGGTTAAGACACCATGCGGGAAGCCAGTATCAGAATGGCTGGTTCGAGTCCAGCCTCTGCTACTGATTCCAGCTGTCCACTAATGTGCACCCTAGGAGGTGCACATGGGTCCCTGCCACCCATGTGGGAGACTGGATTGAGTTCCCAGCTCCTGGCTTTGGTCTGGTCCACTCCCAGTTGCTGTAAGCACTTGGGGAGTGAACCAATAGGTGGAAGACCTCTCTCTTCCCTTTCAAATGAACAAGTTAAAAAAAAAAATCCTATGTTATCTAAGATTTTTACAAGGTTGCTTATAAAAATACTTTCTTGGAGGTTTTAGGGGCTGATAACACTTTTTTTTTTTTTTTTTTTTTTTTTTTTTTTTTTTTTTGACAGGCAGAGTGGACAGTGAGAGAGAGAGACAGAGAGAGAAAGGTCTTCCTTTTGCCGCTGGTTCACCCTCCAATGGCCGCCGCTGCAGCCGGCGCACCGCGCTGATCCTGGCAGGAGCCAGGAGCCAGGTGCTTTTCCTGGTCTCCCATGGGGTGCAGGGCCCAAGCACCTGGGCCATCCTCCACTGCACTCCCTGGCCATAGCAGAGAGCTGGCCTGGAAGAGGGGCAACCGGGACAGAATCCGGCGCCCCAACCGGGACTAGAACCCGGTTTGCCGGCGCCGCAAGGTGGAGGATTAGCCTATTGAGCCACGGCGCCGGCAGGGGCTGATAACACTTTTGCCAAAAGCCATCAAACTACAGAATAAGCTCTGTTATTACCACATCCCTCTCAAGTCTTAAACTTCCACAATGCTCTTTGTTATTAGGCCTCCACATAAGAGGAGGACTATATAGAGCACCACACTGAAAGACAACCTGAGATAATTCCCGGGAACACATTTGTCGCTCCCCCTCTTCGTGGAGGAACGACACAGGACCCTGCGCTGTTCTTTTGTCTGCTCGGCCCTCCCCGGGTTTGCTGCTGGTTCTTCCCGGGTTGGCTACTATCCCTTCCACCTCCGTGGAAGGGCAGTTCCCCCTGGCCGCATTCCCCACTTCCGCAGGGGAGCGGCACACCGCCGGCCGGTTCTCTCGGGGGCTGCACGGGTTCCCTTAGATGTTCCCCATAGATGTTCCTGGTGCATGCCGTCTCTCTCCTCCTTTATAGTCCTCCTCCGCCAATCCCAACTCGGCTGAGTACGCTGCTCTCCAATCAGGAGCAAGTCCTACAGTTAATTGGTTGAACTGGAGGCAGCTGTGCGGAAGCTGTTTACTTCTCTCCCAGCGCCATATTGTGGGAGAGCAGATGCATAGAATAAGTCCTAATTCGAGTAACCTAGTCTAGTCCGGATTGCTCCCCACAGATCCCCCTTTCTTTTTATTTTTTAGCGTTGATACGCGCCTGTCTTCGGTGTCCCGCGGCACACACTCTGCTCTACTTGCTAGAGTTGCCACAGGCTCTTACAAGTCCTATCAATCAGGAAAACCGAATCCGGGTCCTCTCTTCGCCATTGTGAGGAGGTTTTTAGGCGCTGATGCATGCCTGTGTTCGGTGCCCTGCAGCGCATGCTCTGCTCTGCCCGCAGGGGCTTACAAAACCTATCAGGCAAACCGAATCCAAGCCTTCTCATTGCCTTATTGTGGGGGAGACTTATTAGTGTTGGTTCGTGCCTATCTTCGGTGACCTGCAGCTCATACTCTGGTCGAGCTTTGCTGGCGCTTACCGCCTTAAATCAGGCAGACCGAATCCAAGCCTCCTAATTGTTGCATTGTGGGGAAGCTTTACTGATGTTAAATCGTGCCTGTCTTCGGTGACCTGCGGCTAGCCGCCCAGGTGCTCATCGCCTCACTAATCGGGCAGACCGAATCCAAGCCTTCTAATTGGCATGTTGAGGGGAGGCCTTATTTCTCTCTATTTCTCTATCTCCGGGCATTCCTATTTCTCCCATTTTACTTCTATCTTCCAGCATTCCTATTTCTCTCACTTTACTTCTAAAACTTCTGTTTCTCTTATCCCCGCAGCTTCCCGGCACCTCGCCCCGCCGGCGGGTTCCCGGCTCTGCGCCGCTTCAGCCCGCGCGCCTCTCTCATCTGCGCAGCTTCCCGGCTTTGCGCGGCTTCCCGGCTTTGCGCGCTCCGCGGTCTCCACGCTTAACCCTTTCGCGTCTGAACCACGGCCTACGCCAGCCCCGTTCCCTATCTATTCACGCCCCGTGCTCTCTCTGCACGCGGCGGCTTCCGCGAGTAACACAGCGTAGCTTGCGTCTCCGCCACTAGGATTCAATCTAAGTTCCCCGGGCTAGCCTGGCGAATTCAACCCAGCGTACGTCTCCGCCCCACGATTTGGCTTCCCGTCCTTTGCTCCCCGGGCTAATCAGACGGATCCCAATCTGGCTTACGTCTCAGCTTCTGGTTTCAACTTCTCGCCCCCTATTCCCGGGCTAACTTGAGAACCCCAAAGTGGCTTTCGTCTCCGCCTCGGCCTGCCCCCCGCGGCTTCAATTTCCCTAACATTTTTCTCTACCCGGTATGTTTCCCCAAGCTTTCCTCCAACGATATTCCTCCCTCATTTCTCCTGGCCTCTCCCCACAGTCCGCATCCGAGTTTGTTCTAGCTTTCACTTTCGCTTTCGACCTTAGAGATTTCTCCCAGCTTCCCCCCGTAGTCCGTATCTGAGTCTATGCCTAGGCTTTCAATAGCTTCTTCCGGCTCCTTTTTCGTCCGGCTTTTCCCTAGGCTGTTTGCTAGTTTCTCTCTCCGATATTTTCCCAATTCTTCCCGTTTCTTCCCTCCTAAGTTTGCTATCCGAGTCACGGCACCATTATGTCGCTCCCCCTCTTCGTGGAGGAACGACACAGGACCCTGCGCTGTTCTTTTGTCTGCTCGGCCCTCCCCGGGTTTGCTGCTGGTTCTTCCCGGGTTGGCTACTATCCCTTCCACCTCCGTGGAAGGGCAGTTCCCCCTGGCCGCATTCCCCACTTCCGCAGGGGAGCGGCACACCGCCGGCCGGTTCTCTCGGGGGCTGCACGGGTTCCCTTAGATGTTCCCCATAGATGTTCCTGGTGCATGCCGTCTCTCTCCTCCTTTATAGTCCTCCTCCGCCAATCCCAACTCGGCTGAGTACGCTGCTCTCCAATCAGGAGCAAGTCCTACAGTTAATTGGTTGAACTGGAGGCAGCTGTGCGGAAGCTGTTTACTTCTCTCCCAGCGCCATATTGTGGGAGAGCAGATGCATAGAATAAGTCCTAATTCGAGTAACCTAGTCTAGTCCGGATTGCTCCCCACAACATTGCCAAGATTCCACAGTCAGTCCGTGGCAGAACTCAAACTGCAATGTGTGTCTCCTAATTCCAAGGCTGTGGCTTCTTGTACAAAATCACATCAACTTCCAGTTCTCAATCAAATCTGTATAAATGTGGGGATTGAGTCTAACAGTCCAACTGGCCTGGGGGACTGGGAGTGTGGCAGGTGCCCATTCTCAACTCCTTTAGGCAGAGGTGAAATGACCCCAAACCTCGTCTCCCTGACTCTCTTGCAGCTAGCATTCTGCATGCTGTTTAAATTGTGCAGAGCAGGAGCAGGAACAGCCAAACAAGGCCTGGAGGCAGGGAGTGAGCCCCCAGGCACAGGCCGCACGCAGGGCAAGGGGACTTATCTGATACTGGTTTTAGCCCCATCCCCAGTGTCATGGGTGCCAAGCAATACAAGGTGGTGAGTGGTGGGAATTTCTGCTAAAGCGGTTCTCTGGTATGGCTGGATATTTCTTTGGCTTGCTTTTCCTGGTGGGAAAATTCCCAAACCTGGTTCCATGACCTTCCTGGAAAAAATGTCATAAGCTGACTTATTCTAGTTCATTCCCTTCATTTTCTGCTTATAAAGAATTCAATTATGGGGGCTGGTGTCACGGCGCAGCAGGTTAAGCCACAGCCTGCAACACCGACATCCCATAAGAGCAACGGCTCCACTTCCTATCCAGTTCCCCACAAATATGCCTGGGAAAGCAGCAGACAATGGCCCTAATGCCTGGTACCCTACCACCCACATGCGAGACCCGCATGAAATTCCAGGCTCCTGGCTTCGACCTGGAGCAGCCCCAGCTATTGCAGCCATTTGGGGAGTGAATCAGTAGATGAAAGATCTCTACCTCCTCTGCCCCCATCCTCTTTCTCTGTAATTCTGCCTTTCAAATAAATAAATAATAAATAAAAAATTCAGTTTTGTCATCTGATTCTGACCTCAATAAAGAGCATCCTCAGAGGACATGAATTTCATCTTTTATGTAACATCCACATAATTAGAACACCAAAAACATTCAGCCTATGAATGTACTTGGGACACAGCCTGCCATCTCCTCATCTACTTAGCATGCGTATTCCCACAAAACCCAACAACACACCTGTCATCTTTATTTATCTGATCTCCAAATCCCACGGTGTCAACAATGGTTAACTTCAGCCGGACATTGCTTTCCTGAAGCTCATAACTTCTGGCTTTCAACCGGACACCCGGTTCATTGTGAGTAGCTGGGTCACTCTCAAATTTGGTGTTGAACAAGGTGTCCATTAACGTGGATTTGCCAATGCCCGTCTCCCCTGCATAAACGAGAAGATGCATTAATATCTCTAGGACATGAATTCAATTCACAAACAAACTTACAAAACAAGTTTACGAAAGAAGCCCTAGCATGAGAAATCTCCCTCGCAAAGAGGTAATAAGACCTCAGTGGGGCCATGGCACACCTGCCTGAGGAATTCCAGACTACTGGGCAGGACAGATCTTGAACTTACAGATCAGGATGCTTTTCCCACCTCTGAATAGAAAACAGTACCTGTAGGCTTGCCTGTGATCAGTTTGAATATTACAGGGAGAAACTATAACTCTCTCTCCTAGATGTCAACATGTAAAACTGTTTCTTAAGGTTAAAAAACAAAACAAAAAAACTACACTGTGGAATTTCTGTTACTTAAGAAAAAAAAAACCAATCTCACTTATATTAAGTGACCTGGTACATTCACGCCAACTGTTATGGATGGTTTGGATAACAGTTTGGGTGTGCCCCCAAATCCCATGTGTTGAGGGCTTGATTCCAAGAGTCTTACATTAATGGACCAAGGATGGAACTTAATCCAATGACAAGACCTGAAGGTGGGGCCTCGAACAGCAATTGGATTGACTTACGTTGTCGGGGTGGAGCAGCTGTGTTCAAATCATCACGGCTTTACAAGGAGGGACCACATGGTGGTGGAGGACCAGCACACAGCCTGTGTCTCCCTGTCTCCCGGCTTCCCGTGATCCTTTTCTCTGCACTCCTTCCCCACCCCCAGCCCTCATTAATGGGGTCCAGATCAATGGGGTTGCCGATCTCAGACTGTGAACCTCCAAAACCATGAGCTGAAGTGAATCTCCCTTTATAAGCAGCTTCTCTCAGGTACTTGTTAGTGTAGTGATGAAAAGCCGACCAACACAACTGTTACAACCAATGTTATGGAGTACTGACTTTGTGCCAGGCCCTATGTATAATAATCTCATCTGAAGACTACTACCTCCACAAAATAAGTACTTTTATTTCCTCCATTTTACAGATGGGACTGTAAGGCTTGGAGATGACTTATAAGCAGACAACACTACAAAGTGAAGAGCCAGCGTCCTAATCCAAGTTTGTATTATTCTAACACTCACTTTCACCCAATGCAGAAACAGGACTTCACTATAACGGGCAGTTTGTTTGCTCCGCAATTTTCCAGTTGTAGTTACGCATCTGTGTGGCATCCCTTTGCATTGTCTTTATTTTTCTGTTCCTGTTTAGCTGGAGTCAAGATGGCAAACATTTGTTGGACAGTTTTCCCAGTCTGAAAGTAATGTCTGTGACACAGAAACTCACTGATGCTGTGACCTTACTAGTTTACACCAATAATTCAAGTCAATCAGTATTTATGGAGATCCTTGGATGTGCCCAGCAGAGGGCCTGGCACCTCGAATCACCACACCCATCAAATGATGAGGAGACCTAAACAAAAGAGATGTGACAAACGCCAGCTCAGCCTTCAAAATAAGACCAAGCAGAATTCTTTTCTTTTTTTTTTTTTAAGATTTATTTATTTGTTTGTTTGAAAGGCAGAGTTACAGAGAGGCTGAGTGAGAGAGAAAGGTCTTCCTTGCGCTGCTTCACTCCACCAAATGATGGCAACAACCAGAGTTGGGCCTATCTGAAGCTAGGATCCAGGAGCTTCTTCCGGGTCTCCCAAGCGGGTGCAGGGGCCCAAGGACTTGGGCCATCTTCCACTGCTTTCCCAGACCATAGCAGAGAGCTGGAGTGGAAGTGCAGCAGCCAGGACTTGAACCAGTGCCCATATGAGAGGCAGGCACTATAGGCAGCATCTTTACCCGCAACACCACAGTGCCAACTCCCATCCTTTTATTTTTGTTAAAGACTATTTTATTTACTTGAAAGGCAGAGTTTAGAGAGAGAGGGAGAGACAGAGAGAGAGAGAGCGAGATTTTCCTTCCACTGGCTCACTCTCCAAACGGCCACAATGGCTAGGGCTGAGCCCGACCAAAGCCAGGAGCCAGGAGCTTCTTCCAGTTCTCCTACATGAGCACAGGGCTCCAAGGACTTGGGCTATCTTTGTTTGCTTTCCCAGGCCATTAGCAAGGAGTAAGATCTTGAACTGATGCCTGCATGGGATGCCAGTGTCCCAGCGGCAGCTTTACCCACTCTGCCACAACGCTGGCCCTGCTCTTAGTTATAATTCTCCTACTTTGAAACTCTATTTATTTACTTACTGAAAGGCAGAGAGACAGGAGGAGAACAATAGAGAGCTCCCATCTGTTGGCTCACTCCCCAAATGCCAGCAACAACTAGGACTGGTTTAGGGGCAAAGCCAGGAACCAGGAACTGGACACAGGTCTCCCAAGTGGGTAGAAGGAATCTACCCACTTGGGAGCCATTACCAGTGCCTTCCAAAGTCTGCACTGGCAGGAAGCTGGAGCCAGGCCAGGGATGGGATTTGAACCCAGGTACTCCAAAGTGGGATGCGGGGGTCTTAATCCATAGGCTAAATTCCTGTTCCTTATCTCTAATTCTCATAGTGAGTCAAAGACAGCTGGCAATGTGAAAGAACCCAATCTTATCACTTGTGGTGGTGCCTGAGTCCATGATGAAGAAGGGGAAGCAGGAATCAAGAACCATCAGCCACAGAAACATCTGTTTTTTCATAAGGAAAATTCTCGATTAGGTTTCTAGCCTGATTTGTGACAGAGGGCAGGCGTTTGGTTGGCCTAGTGGCTAAGATGCTTGTGGTCCACATCATAGTCCCTGAGTTCAATTCCTTGCTCTGGCCTCCAATTATAGCTTCCTGCTAAAGCAGACCCTGGGAGGCGACAGGGAGTGGCTTAGCAGCTGGGTCTCTGCCACCCACATGAGAGCCCTGCACTGAGTTCCCAGGTCCCAGGCTCTTGTCCCCCACGGCCCCCTCATTGTGGGCATTTGAGGAGGGCCCAGTAGATGGGGGCTCCCTGTCTCATAAAATGTAAATAAATAAATATTTAAGCTGCCGATATGCAATAGATATTCAAAGATTCACGGAAAATGCATACCATCAGAATATTATGAATGGATTTTAAAAGTTTCTGCATCAAAATAAGCTTACTATTTAATCCTACTTTCTTTTTCCTTATAGTAAGGAGTAGTCATACATTTCTTTTTATTCTAATTTTTTCATTGAAAGGCAGAGTTACAGAGAGAAAGGGTGAGCCATAGAGAGAGATCATCTAACTACTGCTTCACTCTCCAGATGGTGCAACAGCTGAAGCCCAGAGCGCCACCCGGGTCTCCCCCATGGGTAGCAGGGGCCCGAGCACTTGGCCATCTTCTGCACATGAGAAGGCAGCGGGATGAGACGGGCAGTCAGGACTTGAACCGGCGCTCATATGGGATGCCGGCGCCACAAGTGGAGGTTTAATTCACTGCACAGCACCAGCCCCTATTTAGTACCATTTTCCGTGAACTTTTTGAAATCCCCCTCTACAGCAGCCATTTCAACAAATCCCAATTCTGATTTCTGCTTAGAACATTGCCTCTTCTGGAGGGCTGCTATGATGTCTGGAATGGTGACATTCCATGAGACACTCTGCTCTGGGATTTGTAGCCTTGGGCAAGTCTTCCCTTGTTGGATGCTGTGTGCCACTGGACTCACTGCTTTCCCACACAATGCAACAGTGAAGCAGCATGGAATTTTTCTGGATTTGAGCTTTCTCTGGATAGCAACCGATGTGGCTTGCTACTAACTATCGTGAACCACATTAGGTTAAAAGTTGTTCGAGTGCATTGACCTCACTCTCACTTTTCCCACTGTGTCCCTGATACATCTAACATCATAGAATTTCCTCCTTCATCAGTCTTCATTCACTTGCCCACTAGGTACCAAGCTCTTTGCCAAGTTCTGGGAATACAACAATGAACCAGCCTGACATGGCATCCCCCATAGCTCAGAATCTGGTGGGGAAGACGGTGGAATACTAACCAGACTCTGACTTACTATTACTTATGTATCGACTAAGTGCCTGCCGTAACCACAGGCCTCGTCTGAGCAAGATCCCACTTGCTGCACTGGGTCCTTGCTACCTGACCACAGATAAGCAGGCCAGGGCTAGGCCCCTGACCCAAAATTTTTGTTGTTGTTGTTTTTAACTTTTATTTAATGAATATAAATTTCCAAAGTACGACTTATGGATTACAATGGCTTCCCCCCATACCGTCCTTCCCACCCACAACCCTCCCCTTTCCCACTCCCTCTCCCCTTCCATTCACATCAAGATTCATTTTCGATTATCTTAATATACAGAAGATCAGCTTAGTATACATTAAGTATGGATTTCAACAGTTTGCTCCCACACAGAAACATAAAGTGAAAAATAATAGATGATTTTTTTTAAAATGATGATGAAATCAGAGCAGACCTATTGTCATGTTTAATCCCAGTGAGAGTCAAGTTGGGAATTGATAAATTTCTTTTTTTTTTTTTTTTTTTTTTACAGAGGATCAGTTTAGTATGCATTAAGTAAGGATTTCAACAGTTTGCACCCCCATAGAAACACAAAGTGAAATATATTGTTTGAGTACTCGTTATAGCATTAAATCTCAATGTACAGCACATTAAGGATAGAGATCCTACATGAGGAGCAAGTGCACAGTGACTCCTGTTGTTGACTTTACAAATTGACACTCCTGTCTATGGCATCAGTAATCTCCCTATGCTCCAGTCATGAGTTTCCAAGGCTATGGAAGCCCTCTGAGTTCTCCGACTCTTATCTTGTTTAGACAAGGTCATAGTCAAAGTGGAGGTTCTCTCCTCCCTTCAGAGAAAGGTACCTCCTTCTTTGATGACCTGTTCTTTCCACTGGGATCTCACTTGCAGAGATCTTTTGCCAGAGTGTCTTGGCTTTCCATGCCTGAAATACTCCCTTGGGCTTTTCAGCCAGATCCGAATGCCTTTAGGGCTGATTCTGAGGCCAGAGTGCTATTTAGGACATCTGCCATTCTATGAGTCTGCTGGGTATCTCACTTCCCATGTTGGATCACTCTCCCCTTTAT